TAATCTATTTGCTGCATTATTAATGAGTAAATTTAATCAACAGTCACTGAACTTTCAAATTGTTACCACTTACTCATTGAACTTTAACGCGTTACCGAACACTCACTCATATTTCCTTATGGTTACCCATTCACCACTCACTCCACTCCCGTCTCTTAAAATTAATAGAAAATTACACGTGGCTGACGATTTTCTTACGTGGCAAACACCCCCACGTTAAATTTCCAACGTGTAATTAAACCCACCACTCATCTCCATTTAACTCACGCTTCTCCCCCATTCTCACGACATCTCTGCCTAAATTCAAAGTTTCAAACCCTTAATTCCTAAATTGAAACCCTGAATTCCCAAATTGAAAATTTGAAACCCCCAAATTGAAACCCCTTAACATTTGCGGAGGTGGCAGGTGGGACGGTGGCGGAGTGTGCGGTACTCTCGACGGTGCCACAAGCCGACTATATTTGGCGCATTATTTTGATGTTTGGAGCAGTCCCAGCTGCACTCACTTTCTACTATTGATTTTGCTATTGATTTGATGGGGAACGATGACAATGATCGCTTCGTATTTAACATAACAAGTTTGCAGATTGGGTAATTGTTTTCTGCCCCTCTCAATTTTTCGACCTATATGTGTTTATGAATGAATTTGCAATTGATTCAATACTTCGATGTAATGTTCTTTGGTTTTCTAATTAATTAGATGCGTGTGTGAATGAAAAATGTTGTTTGCCTTTTTGCAAAACTGATTTATAATCTGATGAACAATATTCAATTTTGTTGGTTTTAAGGTGGGAAGAACAGAACACCAGGGATACAGATTTTGTGTCACGGCCTACACATTTTTGGGTGAAAGATCTTGTGTCACGGCCTACACATTTTTGGCAACTGATGGTCACTAAGGTTGCTGAAAAACACTTCTCTCCTTGGAATGAATTGCACTGCTTTTAAGTTAACCACTACATGCTATAAGATTAACTTTCCTGATTATACAACGGTCCAGGTTGTCCCCTTTTCCAAATTCTAAAGTGAAGGAGAGGATGGACACAGGAGAACTTAATGAGCTACAGGCTATTTCTCAATCAAACACAAGTCAGTTCCAAAAATTCGAAAGGTGGTTCTTATTGCTTGATGTTGCGACATCATCCAGGAAGAGGGCTTTGCTACCTGTGAAGAAAGCAGTTAGAATGTGGTTCTTTGGCTGTTGTTCCAACTGTAGCTTTTGGTCATAGAATGTGTTTGAAATGTCATTTAACCATCATGGATGAATAGTTGTAGTTTAGGGTCTGATTTTAAGAGTTTTTGACAGTGAAGGCTGATGTTAGTGCATTAGAGTGGTCAATGCAAGTTTTTGAAATGTGGTTTAACCATCATGGATGTATGTATTTTGAATGAATGGTTATATTCCAGTTGTTTACTGGTTTATATTATGATTTTGAGAATGAATGAACGAATGATTTACTGATTTATACTCAGCAGTTTTCTGAAGAGATGTTTGGTGTATTGTTTCTTGCTGCTTTTATCCATATAAAGACAGGTATACACCAGATTCTTGGTGCATCACATTTATGCACCTCAGTCAACATTTATGTACTCTGAATTTAAGTGTGGGAAGCTGATTCCATTTTGCTCCTTTACCTGTAATTCTTTTTCATTGTTCATTGTAATGCCTTTGCAATTTCCTTTCAATTGTTACCGTTATTTTACATATTCAAATCAGGTCCTGCTACACAGTCTAGCAGCTCATTTTTTCCTTTTTTTCCCAAGGAAATTCCACCTGCTGATGCTCCTGATTCTTGGTGCTGATGTTTATATTCCAGTTTACTGATGCATTGCAATTTTCAATAACCTCAGGCAATCCAATTTTCAATAACCTCAGCCACAATAACCTCACAATTTTCAATAACCTCAGCCACAATAACCTCACCTCAGGCAATCCAATTTTCAATAACCTCAGAAGTAAATTCTAATCTATACATTATATTGCCCATCCACAAACTCAGCCACAAAAATAAAACAAACCAAGTTATAAAATGATTCATTCATTCAATAGTACAAAGATCATACAGCCAAGTTACAAAAATCAACTACATATACAACAACCAACTACAATACAAAGTTCATAGAGCCAGCAGGTCCTGCTTCTTCATCTTCATCATTTTCATTTCTATTTTCATGGACTGCAATCTCCCTTCCTAAACAGGACTGCAATCTCCCTTCCATATGGGCTCTTGTACAATACAAAGAAATGTCACTAATTTCACCAATTTTCAAAGCAAATGTTGCATCTTCAAATCCAGCCAGAAAATAAGCCCCCAGCCGTCCCACCAGATCAGCGCAAATCACAGCTCCCAGGCACCAGTCCACAGAAGCAAAACAAGGGGAAAACACGGGCCCTAATAATCCAAATAAGGAGCTGGGCCGGATTGAAGGAAACCGAAGCCACTGTGGCCATTACAAGGCCAGGAACGCCAAACCGTCAACAAACAAAACGTCACCTGACATGGAGGCAGGAAGGAAAGACTAGGATTCCAAGGGAACCTAGAAAGAACCTTACATTTGCAAGCAAAGGAAGGACAAGGGAAACAGAAAGCAAAAAGAAAAAACAAGCAAAAAGGAAGAAAAAACAAAGAGAAAAGTAAGAAATCGATGGCCGGACGAGCAGCACCAGGCCGCTCGCCGGAGACACAGAAAGCTTCTGAAACTTCAATGGTTTAGGGAGAGGCTGTGGGTTTGGGAATTAAGGGTTGGAATTGGGGGAGAAGCGTGATTTGAGAAGGAGAAGTGTGGTGGGTTGGATTACACGATGTCAATTTAACGGGGGAGAGTTTGCCACGTGAGATTTCCGTCGTCAACGTGTAATTTTCTGTTAGTTTGAAGAGACGGGAGTCGAGTGAGTGGTGGATGGTTAACTATAAGGAAAGATGAGTGACCATTCGATAACGCGTTAAAGTTAAGTGAGTAAGTGGTAACAATTTTAAAGTTCAGTGAGTGTTGATTAAATTTACGCCATTATTAATGTATGAAAATTGACTGTCAGATGAAGGTACAACTAGTTAAGTGGAGAAAGCATTTTTATAGCGTTACTGTTAAACAATTTTCTTTCTTTCAAAACTCATTTGGTATTTAAGTTTGTTTATCTAATTTGATACTTAAGTATGCGGGTATTATACACGTTGGATAAAAATAGGGTAAAGCTGAATTCTTAGCGTTGTTTGAAGAAAACTTCATTTGAAATTTATACAAAGAGAAACAAAAATACGGTATCACAAAACTACTGCAACAGCATCATAGAAGTGGTACCATCATTTGAAGATAATTGAATGTGGCTAGTTTTTTCTGTTCTGTTTTTAATGGATTTTGAAGAATGTTTTTAATTGATTTGGTCTAGTTTTTGGAGTCGTTTTGGAGACCCCGGAGCTGCAAGTGCTAGAATCGGAGCAGTTGAGGATGTTAAAGCAGAAGTTTGAGGAGATTGGGATTGATGGAGATGCTTGTAAGCCAGGGCAATACTATGGTTTAACATGTCCAAGCGTACGTGCTTTTAAATATTCTTTTGCGTAGAGACTTGTCATGTTTCAGTTTATTCAGCTATAACGATATTGTGATTTAGCAACATACATTTTGCTACGACTGTATATGAAGAAACAAGTTCTGTATACAGTATCTATATCAATCACTTCCAACTAGAACTACAGAAAGCATGCCAACAGATTTTCATTTGAAGCGGCAATGCTGCAGAAGAATTCTGTTTCTTGACAAGTTATAATAGTTAACAACAGCTGAAACCATATAATTATTTACAACGAGACTGCATTTCAATTAGTCAGAACTATACATACCAGTGCATGCTCATTTTAGTTGTTTGTTCCATTGTTCGAGTCTCCTCGTTGTCGACTTTGTAGTGCAAAGGTGGGGATTCAGAAGAGAAAAGCTTATCTCTTCACATCACAAAAGATGGGTAAGTTTCCTATAATACTTTGTTTTATGCGTTTTCCTTTTCTTTTAACAGAATTATATTAATATACCCCTGTATGTCATAGTGCTGCAGCAATGTGGACCTGCTTTCGGGCTAAATGTGGGTGGAGAGGCACTACAAGGGTATGCTTCAAATGAAGTTACTTAACTGACTACCAATGGTACATGACTCATGTGATCTAGTGCTTATCTTGCTTGAAGGCCTTTGCTGCTGTAAAATCTACTTATGCAAAAATGAGTAGAATAGCCAAAGCAAAACAACCATTCAGAGAAATCACAGAAGAGAGTCTGGAACTGGAACCTTTGTGCAATGAGGTAGTTACCATTAATTTGTTATATATGTTTGGACATTATCTTCCATACAATTAATTGGGAAGTAGAATCTCTTTTGCTAATGTTGTTTCACATCTGTTCGAGAAGTTATCACCAAACTCTGCTGTTATGATCTATAAATTATAGTTTCAAGCATGCTTTTTAATAATTGGGATTGCGGAATTCTTTCTGAGTAGACCTGTGACTAGAAGACTAGAACATTACATGTTTTATTTTATTTTATTGTACAAGGAATCAAATGTGGACTTTTACAACTTAATATAATCTGAATGCATGATGTGACCAAGAGATAGAACTTTCATGGAAACCTTGAATGCTAGTCAAGCATAGAAAGTCAATACGTGCACTACTTGTCAATGAGTCAGTGAACATCTAAAGCCTTTACATTAAATCCCAAATCTTGGGGATTTTTTTCTGTTTAATCTCTTGATTGATACCAGTGTCATTGAATCTTAATAAACTTTGAATGTGTATATTTTGTAATAATTTATAAGCTTGCTGCATGTTTGGCACTGCAAAATCTTGTGCCTCTTTTCTTGTTTAGATAATTTAGACCGTTTGTTCCCTTTCTATGATTCTATACC